AATAAAACATTTAGAGATTAGGTAACAGAACAAAAGTTTTCAACTGTTATAAACGAAAAAAATCACAAATTAACAGTTATTTTAGCTCCGATTTTGATTATAAGATTGCAGCTGCACTCTTGGACCTATAAGAATGCAATGAATTCGATCTTCAATTTAAAATATTTACACTAGTGGATACCACAAAATCTTATTTTATGCTTAATGGAAGTATAACATTAACTCTAAATGTTTGTTAAATCTATCAATTTGATGGGATATGCATTCTACAAAACCAGTTTCAACGATCCAACCATCAAACTTGTTTGTACACACTCCGAGATTGTATACATAAAAAATCGCAAAAAACAAACATTCAGAGATTAGGTAACGGAACAAAAGTTTTTGACAGTTATAAACGAAAAATCACAATTTAACTGTTATTTTAGCTCTGATTTTGATGATTTTTTACAGCTACACTCCTCGACTCTATAAGAATGCAATGAATAAATTCGATCTTCAATTTAAAATATTTACACTAGTGGATACCACAAAATCTTATTTTATACTTAATGGAAGTATAACATTAACTCTAAGTGTTTGTTTAATCTATCATTTTGATGCAATATGCATTCTACGACACTTTTTTCAATGATCCAACCATCAAAATTATTTGTAGATACTCCGAGATCGCATACATAAAAAATTGAAAAAAACAAACATTCAGATATTAGGTAATGGAACAAAAGTTTTCGACGGTTATAAACAAAAAATCACAATTAACAGTTATTTTAGCTCTGATTTTGATGATTTTCTACAGCTACACTCCTGGACCCTATAAGAATGCAATGAACGAATTCGATATTCAATTTAAAATATTCACACTAGTGGATATCACAAAATCTTATTTTATACTTAATGGAAGTATAACATTAACTCTAAGTGTTTGTTTAATCTACCATTTTGACGCGATACACATTCTATGAAACTTTTTTCAACAATCCAACCGTGAAACTTGTTTGTACACACTCCGAGATTGCATACATAAAAAATTGCAAAAAAAAACATTCAAAGATTATTCATGAAAAATTGCAAAACAATCGCATACGTAAAAAATTGCAAAAATTTCAACCGTTATAAATGAAAAATCATAATTTAATGGTTATTTTAGCTCCGATTTTGATGATTTTTTACAGTTGCAAATTTAAAAAAAAAATCAAAGATTATCAAAATTATGCTTATCTAATCGTGATTATTCATTAAATTCAAGTTTTGTACATCTTCATACCAATTATAGCGAAAACTATATATTAATTTAACATAAATAAATATTTAATCACCCAAAAAAAAACATAAATAAGAATACAAAAGAAATTTATTTTACAAATATAACTGTGTCGGATAAAACCACCAGAGTTAGTATAAAAAATTCGAGAATAATATGATATAATCTGACACATTACTTACTCATGTCAGATATATCCACCATAATTGGTTAAAATTATTTAAAAAATAAATGCTGGAGTTAAGGGGCCGCTTCATTATTCTTGTCGGATATATTTGACAGTAATACTTTGTTATCTGACACATTTTAAACATGTTGTCAAAAATATTTTATCCGACAGTAATAGTGTAAAACTGCCACCACTGTCTTATACATTAAGCCAATTTTGTAGTAGTGGTCTAAGCGTCCTATTGTCGGAAGATGTTGATGTTATAATGGGCGGTTCTCCTTAATAAGTCCAATTCGAGTGTGTACCATCCTATTCCCGTACAAGTGATATTGAATTTGGTCCAATATCATTCAAACGCAGTTGTTACATTCCACACAAAGACATCTAATACGATTCTAAGCACTGATATGGTTGCTTGTAAATTCAATAAAATGTCTCAATCCTATCTAAATATTCGTCACAACATCTATCATTCAACTTTGTCCACCCTTTCTCTATTATGCTTGTTTTCAGAGAATTTAGTCACCATAACAAGTTGATATTCGATTATATGTCCCCTTATGTCTCCGGTAATGATCCTATCCCATTAGAAAGTACACTTTCTATGTTACAGTTTGTGATTCACGTGACTATTTTCGATCATAAAAAATCCGGCAGCATCTTCCTATGGTTCCCCAAGTGCATGACGTAGATATTATAAGCAAATATCTAGTATGCGCTCAAATAACATTAAGGGATACAACCAAATTTTTCACAATCGAAACTTAGCCATGTTCATTGCAAACCCTAACACATAAGAGTGCACTCTCGAAATGTCCAAACTGGACAATTCAAGAATCTATTAGATTGCAGAGACACATGTTGCGTGTACGCACACATCCAACAGACTCTCAAACAGGTCTAAGTTATTTTTATTTTATTACACGAAGTTAATCAACATAATTAATTTTGTGTAAACAGTTATGAAATTTCCAAACAAATTTCACACCGCGATTTCCTAGCCTAGAGCTGCACAAATTAAAAACCTCCCACTCCCCCCCCATGTTCTCTTTCCCCCTTTCTCCTTCTCATTTTCTAAAAAAATGTGTTCATACACACATAGTGTGTAGGCAAATGCTAGTGTGTGTGTGTGTGTGTGTATCACAATTAATTAAATTAAAATTTACTAATTGAGAGACAAGTAAATACCGTCACTTTAATTTTCTTCCAATTCAATCACAAACCTACAACAAACAAAAGTAATTAATTACACTATTAAACAAACAAAATTTTAACAAATACAAAAAACCTTAAATTAATTGGGTGATGAGGTGGGTGTGAGTGGGAGAGAGAGAGAGAGAGAGAGAGAGAGAGAGAGAGAGAGAGAACACAAATATAGCAGAGAAGAAGAGAGTTGATGGGGGAAAGAAAGAAGAAAGGAACGGCCTATTTTAATGAACTGGTGTTTGTTCATTGGGTAACGTCACCAATGTCGTCGAACAAAGAATCGTCATCGGGTGAACACGCACAAAAAGTCGTCCGGCAAAACATATCAGATAGGTTTAGGACAGATCATCATGGATCTTTATTTGAAGACTCGTATACGTTTCTTGACAGAATGGTTCGTCGGACAAAGTCACTTTACCCAATGAACTTGTTTTTCCCTTTCGCAAAAACATTGCCCCAAGAATAGTTTGCCCGTCAAAATGTTCGTCGTCTAAAGTCTCTGAAAAAACCAAAACATTGACCACTTTTTCCAGACCAAATTTGTATGCTCGTTGGGTAAAGCTACTTTGTTCGACAACATTTGGTTCGTCGAGGCGAATGATAATTTCTGGTAGTGTAATATTATTATCCAACAAAAGAAAACCTCTAAAAAAATGAAATAGATTACACCACTGCTGAAGATTTCAGTGGAGCTGGAAATCATGATGGCTTACAACGACAATCGTGCTTCCATTTGAACCTGTATTCAACAAAAGCTACCAAAATGTCGAGAATTTTTTGTTGCGATGTACATAAAATGTGCACAATTTTAGGTTGGTTGCTGTGGAACACTGGACTCATGATGGGCTTCTTAAAATGCGATCGAATATTTTATAAAATCTCGGTTGCTGGCTACTTAACTGTTACCTATATAGTTTCAGTTGATTACTATTGAATTGTTACACAGTTTTCAACTGGCTGTTAATGAGTTCCAAGGCACATGGTTGGCTTCAAGTATTCGGTTGAAACCAACTGAACATTTTGGGGATTGTTAATTGTGTTGGAGCTTGAGACTCTCTTGTCCCACATTGGTTAATATTATTTTTTCACTAGCCTTTATATAGGCTTATTCTTTTTTCTTAGTAATTAGAATTTGGACCATTTGGAAATGGATTGAAGGCTTGGGCCTTATGGTTGTGTGGATTAGGCTTGATGATTATACTATAATATTAATATTAATTAATCAAGACAAGGGCTTGGGAAGGGCCTTGGGGACTTGGAGCCAAGGAATTAAAATTAATCTGATCAATTAGTTTTAATTTCGAATTAAGTTTTTAATTAAATTAATTAAAAACGTTTTGATTAATAGACACAAATCTTTGGAAAGAGTTGTATCTTTTTGGAAAGAGCTGTATAGCTTTAGATACATCCAAAAGGTGTTTGAAGAGGTATGAAAGAGCCTATATAACTGGAGTCCTCATTTCCATCAATTTTTATCTTTTCTTCTTCCTCCTTATCTTCCGTACAAACTTTCCAGAGAGTAAACACACAAAGCAATTCGCTAGAGTTCTATAATCCAGTGCAGGTTGTAGAATTAGGTAGTTGTATCCTGGTCGAGCAGACGTTGTAGAACCACAAGCACACGAGTGGGATGGAAATACTATTCAAAGGACATAGCGTTTGCGCTAGCCTCTACCTTCAATTCATTCAAGTTAGTATCATATTAATTTTTGTAATTTTTGTGTTATTGCATTTTGTATTGCAAGTATTTGTGAATAATAAAGTATAAGTATTTTAGTTTTGTATATCTGTTATTTTATTTCTAAATTGTTCTCCAACAAATTGCTGGCTACGGAAAAACTTTACACAATTTTCCATTGGTTGTTACTGATATTTATTGCTTCAACAATCATTTCATGTTAGAAAACAAGTATTTTCCTACTAAAAAATTTTAGGATGCCAAAACGACCCTAAATGGTTATGCGAATTAATAAAAATAAAAAATCTCATTCTTTTGTCTCAAGTTCAGTACGTCGACATCTTTAGCCACATTCAGAAATCAATTCCTTTATGCTTACTGGTTGCTTCACCTCATATGCCCTCCAATTTAGCCCACCAACCTCATTGAACGAACCTCCCAACAGTTTTAAAAAATACAAACACCATGCACCAAACACATGTCCACCTCACAAACACAAAAACGCAAACTATTCCAAATCTTTTCCCTTGTGAGAACTAAACCACACAAATATAAACCCATAAAGCGAGCAACAGACGTAGATAACTCACGTACCATACAACCCTATATTTCATGACGTGTAATGTAAACCCCCACCCATTCTCTCTCTGGTTTTGCTTTATTCCCACACAAGCGCACACATAGCAAGCTCCGTCTATAAAATCTCAACTACCTATAGAAGGTCTCAATAGAGAAGAACCACAGTACGAGCTAGCTATGAAGAGAACCCATTTCTCATTCATGGAAGAAAACCCTAACCCTAACAATAATCTTATTCACGTGAGCAACCAACAGAATCCTGCATTTTCCTGGAAAAGAAACAAACACAGCGACCCAAACAATCTTGTGGGATTACAAAACATGCAGGCTGTTGACTTACAAGTTAGTAATCCTCAGACGGGCAACTCGGGACGTGAGAGACTAAAGAGGCACCAGGAGGAGGTGGCCGGCCACGTAGTGATACCGGATTCGTGGGGTCAGGAGGAGTTGCTCAAGGATTGGATCGACTACTCTCCTTTTGATGCGTTGTTGGTGCCAAAAGGTCTCACTTCGGCTCGTGAAGCACTTGCTATGGAAGGACGTCGAGCAACTACTTCCCAAGAAGTACTGAGGATAGAGAGTAGGTGTTGAGAAACTTTGATATTTTGTCCTTGCATTTATATTTTAATTCGATACTAAATAAAAAACATTACTAAATTTGTTTGATTTTAAGTTTTTGTAATAATAATAATGCTAATAATAACAATAATAATGATAAAAGAAATATCTCTAGCTAGCTATTATATAATCTTTTCCAGTACAAAGGTAGCCAGATATCAAGACATGTACGAATAACCAAAAACAAAGATTGGCATATGAAATACGTGGATATGTAATTAAGTATTGTGTTATATATTGGGAAATTGATATACTCAAAATAAATATATTTTTACAGAACTTCGAATCATGATCATGAATTATTAGGGGAATATTTCTTGTTTGGATCTAATTGTATTACACACACACACTATCTATTAATAGAACACTTTTTATCAATAAAAAGCCAAGGACAATACTAATACCCTTTCATGCATAATTGAAAGGAAATACCAACAAAAAAAATATATAAATCATGGGCCGGCCATCGGCAGAGCTACACCCACAGCTATGGTGGCTGTAGCCTAGGTAGGTTTTATGAAAATTCCTACCATATTAGGTTATTAACGTATCAATTAGGTTACTCTAGCCTATTGTCACCATATATAGCCCATCCAGTTCCACGATTATCGTATATATGTAGTTCATCATAAGTAATAAATTTGATATATCTATTTTCTTTTTATTGCATTTTATATATTTTCCTTTGAAACACGAGTTAAGAGTACTGGCCTTTAGATTTTGATCCAAATGGAGTTTTGGTTTCTAAATTAAAATATGTGCATAGTAGTTCTTGAACTCATCATACTAGAGCAATAGTTAATTTGAACAACATCGTTAAAATTTTCGTCCAAATAAAGGGTTTTAAAGGGTAAAAAAGAGACTAAAGTTGTAACAGAGTAACACAAAAGAATCATTGCTTTACATTGTGATAAGTTTACTAATAAATTATTATTTGAAGTATCAAAACTCCATTTGGATCATATCAGGAGTCAATGATCTTTTTTTTTTTTTACTTTTACTTTTACTTATAAAGTCGGCTGGAAATTAATTAATGGAAAGTCATAGATTGTTTGGTTTATTAATTAAAAAGATTGTTTTCAAGTTGATCAATGTAACTTTTTGTAGACAAAAAAACTTTGATCACATCGTTTTAGGGTAATGTTTTTTGCCAGCCCACCTTTGAAGAAATCCCAGCTCCGCCCTTGGGGCCTGCATTAAAGTAATTTTGTAGAAAAAAAAATATTATATATTAATAGAACACTATTTGTCAATTAAAAACCAAGAAAAATACTATTATACCTTCTCCTGCATAATTGAAAGAAAATATCATAAAAGAAAATTCATAAGTATTAAAGTAATTTTGTACAAAAAAAAATTTGTTGGTTTTTGTTCTTTACTCACCCATAGACTTGGCAATTTCTTACATGACACATTAACACGACACAAAAACGATAACTAATCAGGTCGTTATCGGGTCACCCATTAAGAACCCGTTAAGAAAAAAATTATTTTGATGATTTAAAGTTAAACTACTAAAAAAACTTACTATAAAATACTATAACCATAGTGTTTATATTATATATAAAATATGTATTATTGGATTATTATTCATATATGTGTTAACAAAAAAATTGAGTTTTATTTATTTATTTATTTTTATTATGAGAGTTTCTTATTATCATTACTATTATAAATTTTACTTGACATGTTGTCCAAAATTCAAATCAACTAGTTGCTAGTATAGGCAAAAAGACAGACTTTCAATTTTAGAGCCAATGGCCTAACAAAGTTTTTTACTCTCTTTCATACATCATAATCATAAATGTTTTATCCTCTCAAAAGTGAGATTAAAATATTATAGAACACATTAAAAACATAAAATTAAAAAAAATCAAAGTAATTTAAAATTACCAAACACAATAAAAAATGTAATAATTAATTTACAAGTGCAAAAAATGTAAAAAAAATATGCAAGCACTCGTGATCACATCCTCTATGCTTTGAGATGGGTACATCGTCATTTAAAATTTTAAAATCCTACAAACCCTCATGAATAGTATTTTTAGGGAAGTTCAAAATAAATAGAAATTCATAATAATTAATGTACAAGTGTGAAAAATGTGAAAGAATATATAAACACTCATGATTGCATCCTCCATGCACAGATAAATAATGTTTTTTTATTTGAGTGCAAAAAATATATAATTCAAAAATAATTATTGTAGAAGTGTGAAAAATGTAAATAAAAATATATACAATCACTCGTAAAGACAAGCTTTACAACTTTCATGAACAGATCAACTCCGAATTCTCACACCACATTTCATAAACCTTAGATTTATATTTAACCGTCGATTTTCGTTTACGTTTTATTCTTCTCACCGAATTTTATTTTTAGATTTTTGGTTTTTGGAAATATGATATTTTAGTGGATGTAGAAAAATGAACGATTCGGATCGTTGATATCACGTTTTGATATTTCCGATTAATTGAAATATGAGTCAATATTATATAGTTTATAAAGACTTTATAAACTCCAAGCAATAATATCATTAACGGTAAAATTGTTAACGTAGTATCAACGATCTGAACACTTCACCTTCCAACATCCTCCCAAAGATCATGTTTTCAAAAAAGAAAATCTAGAAAAAAAAAATTGGTGAAAAAAATCGAGTGTAAATGTAAAAGACAATCAACGATTGAATTTCAGTTTATAGTTCATGTACCAACATGTCCTTAATTTTACGGCTTTATTAATTTTAAAGTGTGAATTGACCAAAATGCCCCTTGAGGCAAGATTGTTGACATTTGTTAACCGTCTATTTCATGACCCATACAAGCTACTATTTTACCGTATTTGCGTGGTACTCATTACTACGAAAGCATGGGCACAAGCGGAATCGAAACCGGAGTTACGGTTGAAATTTTATGGAACTACTAACGTGATGGTACTTCAGTAATTTTTTGAAGATTTTTTTCTTGGTGGGACCCACACCCCACTCAAAATTCTCTCTCTCCCGTATCTCTTCTTTCAAACATTCCCTTCTCTCCCCCTCCCTTCATCACGCTCTCTTTTCCCCCCTTTCTCACTGTGCACATATGGTGCACAAATTTCCGATCACCACCACCCACCACCAAGAGCACCCCGTCCTCACAAACCCAAAACACCCAACCTCACCTCAAGGCTCGAACTTCCTTCCTAATTGTTGGGATTGAAACTCAATCAAGCCGTGACTTCTTCGGTCATTTTTTCGGACAAACCATGTCGAGTTAGCCATTAACAAAGGTACCATTCTCTTCGTCTCATCGAAGTGTATGATTTTCGTTTCTGAATCACCCAATTTCGTTGAGTATTGAAGAAGTTATAACCATTTGAATTCTCCCTAGTTTCTGACGACCTCCATGCATTTGCAGGCGTTTTTTGGCCATCTCTGGCCACTTTTTGAACTCCAAACAAGTATAATCTTGTTCTACACTTCTCTAGCTTCGTTTTGATATATTTAGTTAAGAAACGAGTAAGTTATTAAACTTTGCAAATTGGCTAGAAATCTAGCAAAAAATTCGAGATTCCGACAAGGTTCTTAGCGGCCCGTGACCGGAGTCCATTTTTGACATCCATTTAGTGAAATTCCAAAGTTTTAATATAGTTGACCGTCTCGACGGCTTGGTTGACTTTTTAGGATTAACTGTTGACTTTTCACGAAAATTGCTCAGGACCCTTCTTAGAGTATTTTGACACCCTGATTCCAAATTTGCACTCTGTTTTCCCAAATTTAGTTGTTTTAGTTGAGTTTTACTAATGGGTCCCAATAATATGCTTAGGTGCGGTCACTATCGGAGACTCCGACTTTCCTAGTTCGAACGGCCGCGACCTCACGAGTATCTATAAGTGAGTCTTTGCTTTTAAATATTATATATTTATTTAGTTTCCATTTATATATTTGATACAAGATTTTCTACTTTGTGCCTATATTAGATTAACGTTTAAAAGAATTAGTGCATTGAAGAAATTTATGAAATTATTTTGAATCCTGCAGAAAGCATAGGTATGCGTACTATTATGGGATGCCTTAATTATATTTGTAGCCATGAATAGTGTTATGTTGACTAGAATTATCGATTTACCTTTACATGATCATAATTATGTTATCCGCTCATCATGTTCTACACTAGTGTTAGTACTAGCCTAGCCTAGGGCCAGTCTTCATGTGTATGTTCAAATCGCACCGTAAGCTCATTTTGGATCCATTGTAGGTGCCACTCCTGTCCTAAATTGCTATACCCAGTCATGTTCATATCAGAATACCTCTGCATGAACTCGTGTGTCAGCATACGTTGATGAGCACCTGTTAGTATATGTTCGTTTATTCGAGATATCGTGATTACCAGATGTTATGTGTTTATTTATGAAATATTATGAAGTATTGCATTCTCGATGATATTACTGTTTACTGTAAGTATTTTCATACTATATGTAGTACGCTATGTTTGGAAACTATACTTATTTTACGACAAGGGATTATTACATTTTCAAAAGGTTTTACAAAGCTTCATTTTTAGGCCCACTCACCCTTGTCTTTTGCCCCTCTAGGTAGGATTCATGGCAAATGTTGGTATAGGAGTTACTTCCGATGGTATAACTCTTATTTTACTTTTACTATATCTTACTTATGCTCTGATATCACTTGTGAATTGGGTTCAATCCAGCTCACATGCGTACTCTTGCATTTAGTTCATTCACATTTTCCACCTCCCTACACTTTATGGCATCGTCACCTTCCCGGTATCGACCAACATAGCTCGATTCGAAGTCCAGTGGACATTCCGGGTCGGGATATGTCAGTTTATGTGATTATAGTGGCGATTTTCGAAGTTGAGCTCTTTACAAAAGTTGTAAAGCTTATCATTGCAAGCGTTTTTATATATATATATATATATATTTCATAATTCTGCGTTAATTAATAGTTATGTAATACTTGAAAGAGAAATATGTGTTTATGTTTTGAAGTAATATTTATGTGACAATGTAGTATGTTATGCTAATTTAGTATGATGTTTTTCATTTGATTATTTATTGGTTTAAAATATATTTTCTATAACAGATAATGGGTCGGATCATATTACCTGTTAATATTAACAGATCGAGTTCGGGTCCAGTCATATTACTCATACATTTGAACGGGTGTTACATGACATGATTTGTTAAAATATCGGGTACGACATAAAAATAACATGAATATGGAAAACATGACACTAACTGAGCATCAAGTTCATTCCTGAGATTTTTGTTATTATATATGTTAAGTTTTTCACTAGCTTTGACGTGTGCAAATTCTTGACAATTATAAAGGTTATCTTTGCCAAAATTTAGGCAATTAGTATGTAAATATAAAAACATCATAATTGCTTTCTTATAAGGGAAATTTTATTTAATTCCATGTAACTTCTTTTTACACCCAACTTAAATTTTAAATGTTAATTGTCATTTTTTCTCTATTGCATAATTACCATCAAGTACAAGATGAATTAAAAATAAAATTAAAATTTATCAATAAACCCACCCACTATATTTAAACCACACATCACTCCTTATTTATCATACGTTCATTCTGGCTAAAATCCTAATAGTTCTTATAGAGAAAAATAAGTTTTTTTATCGATGGACAGTGATTTTGAAGTTTTCATTTCTCCAGTTAAGGTATGACTCAATTTGTTGCCATGCTTGTTTGTCAATTTGTTGTCGTGTTGGTTTGGTTGGTCTTCTGGCTCTTCTTAAACTTGCATCTATAAGCACTTGGTTTTGCAGCTTCTCATCAGAATTTACAATTAACTTCTTCAGCCATTTAAACGATCAATTAACTCGTTGATTATAATCCAACAAATTGTAGAAACAAATTGATCAGAAAGTAAGGAAAAGATGAATTGTTTAATCCCAGATAATTAGTTCTAAAACTAGGAGTGCTTCAAATTTTTGAGAAAACAATTGATCAGACAAACAATGACAACTTACATTAACACTGGAGTTGTCCTTTTTCGAAAGAACAAAAAATTGCAGAGAGGAAAGTTGGTTTGATAAGAGAAAGCGATGGGGGTTATTTATTGTGGTGGTGTTGATAGCAAACCAAGTAACTCGTTTGGTTGAGAACTTGAGAGAGACCATGTGTCTTGGTTTGGTAAAGAGAGCAAATATCTTGGTTTTGTAGCAGAAAAAACAGTAACCATAGGAAATGCTAGGAAGGAGGGGGCAAAGGATGCGTAATGTTTTTTTTTTTTTTTTTTTTGGAGCCTCTTTAAAAAAAAAAAATTATTCAATTATAGATTTTATTTTATAAATGGGTGTAAACACAACTTTACATTTTGAATTGGGTTTAAGAAGGTAATTTAGGTAATAAATTTGGGTTTAAAGAGGTATTAATTCTTTAATAAAAAATAGGGTAAAGTACAAAAAACTACCTCAACTTTTGGTGTCACGACACTTTCATACCTCATCTTTTAAAATTGACAATGTCATACCTCATCTTACGAATTTATGTCAATGTCATACATTCCGTTAGTTTGGTCGTTTATTTCTCAATTAAATGTTGATGTGTCTTGATCCGAGACCCATTTTTTATTAAAAAAATTATTAAAAACTAAAAAAAATCATTTAATATTTTTTAAATATTAAAATAATAAATAAAGTTATTTAAAAAAATAAATAAATAAAACAACATCACAACATCAGTCGTCCCCTTCCCCCCTTCTCTCTCTCCTCCCCATCTTCATCTTCTTCCCCTTTCTGCAATTGCAACCCAGAAAAAAAAAAAGAAGAGATAAAAAAAAAAAAAAAAAAAAAAAACCAATTTGTTTTCCCCGCTCCCCACCCCCTCTTCTCCCCACACCCACTCTCCACATCCAAGCTCCCCACCTTCGCACCCACCCTTTGCACCCAACCTCACACCCATTACTTGCAACCCATAAAAAAAATAAAAAATAAAATAAAATAAAATAAAACCCAAATCCCGTTGAGGTGGAATCAAGAAACCTTTGCCAGGCCGATTTCGAAGGTTGAGAACCTGGGCGCCGAGAAAATGGGGGGGAATGGGTGTGGAGGGAAGAGGGCGGGTGGGGGGGGGGGAGAGGAACGAACTGGGTTTTGTTTTTTGTTTTTTTTTTTTCTTCCTTCTCTCTTCTTCTTCTTGTTTTTCTTTTGCAGGGTGGCTGGGTATTGGGAGGGCGGGGGGCACGAGAGTTTCCCTTTTTTTTTTCTTTTTTTTTTTTTTTCCTTCTTCTTCTTCTTCCTCTTCTTCTTTCTTCTTCTTCTTCTTCTTCTTCTTCTTCCTCCTTCGGGTTAGGTTGGGGTTGGTTTTTTTAATTTTTTAATTTTTTAATTTTGTAATTTTTTTTCGCTTCATTCTCTCTTCTTCTTCTTGTTTTCTTTTGCAGGTGGGTTTTTTTTGGGGGGAGGGGGGGGGGGAAGAAGACGAGAGTTTCTCTTTTTTTTTTTTTTTTCCTTCTTCTTCTTCTTCCTTCGGGTTGGGTTGGGGTTGGTTTTTTTTTTTTTTTTTTTTTCCTTCTTCTTCCTCCTCCTTCTTTTGGGTTGCAGGGGGTTGGGTTTATGGTGGGGGGAGGGGGGACGAACTGGGTTTGGTTTGGGGTTTTTTTTTTTTTTTCTCTTCTTCTTCCTCCTTCTTTCTGGGTTGCAAGAAGATGGGGAAGAGAGAGAGGAGGGAGGGACGAAAAGGAGAGGTTTATTTTTATTTTTTTTATGTACTTTTTTTATTATTTTAATATTTAAATCATATTAAATGATTTTTTTTTGTTTTTAATAATATTTTATTAGTTTTTTAATAAAAAAATGGGTCCCGAATCAATCCACATCAGCATTTAACTGAGAAATAAACGGCCAAACTAACGGGAGGTATAACATTGACACAATTTCTAAAGATGAGGTATGACATTGTCAATTTTAAAAGATGAGGTATAAAAGTGTCATGACACCAATAATTGAGGTAGTTTTTTGTACTTTACCCTAAAAAATAATATGGGTGTAGAAAGTAAATTAGGCATAGAAAAAGTTTACATGGGTTCAAATAAAATTTCTCTTCTTATAATTCAAAGTTGAAAGAATTCATGTAGGTGTAGAATGTTTATTCACTACCAAAAAAACAAAAACCCCCTTTCCCGATGAAAGCCTTTCATCGGGCCAAATAAGCTTTCGTTGCCTAACATTTAGCCCAACTGAACTTTGTCGAACAAAATTAGTTGCACAAACAATGTTAATCCAAGTTTGGGCCAATGAATTTTAGAAGTTGTGTTTGCCCAACAAAACTACCAACAAAAATTTCGTCGAGCAAAACGCGTTGACCAACTTGGCTAGATGAAGATAACATGGTCGACAAAAGGTTTCGTTAGTCAACATTGTATTTTATGCACATAAAAAAAATTAAAAGAAGGTTTGCCCAACGTCTTTTCGTCGGGCAAGTAATATAAAGAAAATAAATAAATAATCACAAAATACATTCTCGATGAATGTATTGGTTGGGCAAAATATTTAATTTTTTTTAAATTAATAACATAAATTGTATTTAATTGACATTAATTAATTAAAACTTAAAAGATATCACAATAAAAAAAACTATTTAATTATATTAAAACTGAAATGTTCATACAATAATATTAAAACTGAAGAAAAAAAATTACTCTAAGTGGCGCATTGGGTCCATGTAGAACTACTTCAATTTAGAAGACATCCATCTCTAGAAATTACAAGCACTGAAAATGATTGCAGAGTCAGTGCTACTCGTCCATCATTTCCACATAATCTGGGGGGATGGCGTCACATCCCGGCCCGGGACGGATCACTTCCCAGGCCCGCTCCACCACCGTAGCACGATATTGTCCTCTTTGGGCTTACTATTCCCTCACGATTTTGTTTTTGGGAACTCATGGGCAACTTCCTAGTGGGTCACCCATCATGGGATTGCTCTAGCCCCCTTCTTGCTTAACTTCGGAGTTCCTACGGAACCCGAAGCCAGTGAGCTCCCAAAAGGCCTCGCTGTAGGTAGGGATGAGAATATACATTTAAGGATCACTCCCCTGGGCAATGTGGGATGTTATAATCCACCCCCCTTAGGGGCCCAATGTCCTTGTCGACACACACGCGGCTAGGGTTAGGCTCTGATACCAATTTGTCACATCCCCACCCTGGGCGGATCACTTCCTGTGTCCGCTCCACCACCGTAGCACGATATTGTCCGCTTTAGGCTTACCATTCCCCCACGGTTTTGTTTTTGGGAACTCACGAGAAATTTCCCAGTGGGTCACCCATCATGGGATTGCTCTAGCTCCCTTCTCGTTTAACTTCGGAGTTCCTACGGAACCCGAAGCCAGTGAGCTCCCAAAAAGCTTCGTGCTAGGTAGAGATGGGAATATACATATAAGGATCACTCCCCTGGGCGATGTGGGATGTTACAATCCACCCCCATCAGGGGCCTGACGTCCTCGTCGGCACACCACGGCCAAGGTTAGGCTCTGATACCAAACTGTCACATCCCGGCCCAGGGCGGATCACTTTGCGGGCCCGCTCCACCACCGTTGCACGATATTGTCCGCTTTGGGCTTACCATTCCCTCACGGTTTTGTTTTTGGGAACTCATGAGCAACTTCCCAGTGGGTCACCCATCATGGGATTGCTCTAGCCCTCTACTCGCTTAACTTCGGAGTTCCAATGAACTCCGAAGCCAATGAGCTTCCAAAAGGCCTCGCGCTAGGTAGGGATGGGAATATACATTTAAGGATCACTCCCCTGGGCGATATGGGATTTTACAAATGGATCGGAGCTTCATCATGAGATGAAAAAGTCTCGTAGTAGTTGTGC